GAGATCCTTGCCCACGCCATCTTCTGTGTGTGTTACATACATTCGCAGTAAACTAATATAGCCTTGCATCATATACTCTACGAATCAGCATATACACGTACATACATGCATACATATACATATGTCTGTATTGCAGCGCATTTAAAATATGTATGTCCACTCGTTCATGATAAGATACAACAAACAACACAACCAGCATTATAAAAAGGGGAATTTGAAGAATTGTAACGACAAGCTGAGAAAAGTTTGCGACTCAACGCCAAAATCATACCAAGAGACCAAAACATAGATTTTTCACCATAAAAAGTCAATCTTTGAACGAACTAAAAGCCATCCCGTCCGAGGCTTATTGCAAGTAACAAACATACTTGTATGTATGTACATAAGTATGTACTCTAAGAAAAATGTTCAAGAGTAGCCTATTTTGAAGGCGAAGAGGAACATTGGATTTTTAACCAGTCCGGGTTAGATTCGATTTGATAGTAAAAGAGTTCAGAAAGAATATTATTGCGATGCTTCAACGATTATACCTATTCTAGGAAAAAGTTCATACTATCTATTGAAATACTCCAAGGATGCTTACGATTAGGCGAAACGCTGGCGACTGTTGGCTCCGTAAGCTCCAAAATTCTCTGGCAAACAAGATAAGCGAGGTCGAAAGGTTTATGGTAGCTTCTCTATTAGCTATTGGGACTTCTCCGTCTGTATCACTGTTACTATTCATTGACCTGTCCACATTAGGACTGTAGGACTGCGCACATCTCTAAGGTGTCTGTAAACGGTCTTCTAACAATAATGTACATATTTGAATGCAGAATCAATTCTCACTGTTGTGATGCTTTGAAGAGTAAACCTTCTTTAATGGGAAAAGAAAAGAAAAACTGCAAATTGCGATTATAGCTGACTTTTAAACATTTTTATTAATTTTCAAGATAATGCGTTTTTCATTGCTACGGTCAATTGTTTTGTTTTTTTTCTTCGCTTAATTGTATGATATTGCATATGCCACTAATTTTGGCGTTTCTGATTTTGTTTTAAGCATAAAAACTTGCACAAATTTAAAAATAAGAAGGCAAATAAAAATAACATTTTGCATTTGCTATCATTTTTCATTTATCGTTATTCCTTAAACGTGTGCAGGCATTTGTTTTTTGTTTTTTTTTTTTTTAACTATTACTGCTGTTGCTACTAATTTTTAACAATTTTTAAATGTTACAAATAGATTTTGCTGTTGTTGTTCCGCTTAAGCACTTCGCGCCACTTTGTGGGCTTATGTTGTATTTTTTACATTTTTTTCTTTAAATAATTTGCATTTCTTGTGCTTTCTTTTCGTTTGTTCTTTTTTTTGTGTATTAATTTGTCTTTAACACGTCCTGCTAAGCTAATTACGATATATGGTTTTAGTTGCTCATCATCATCATTATCATCGTGATTAGTTTGTCTCACAAATGGTCGTTCTTCAGTTTTGTTGCTCTTAAACATTTTCAAAAGTTGTTAACCCTTAGTTGGTCGCACATGATTAATATTGGTATTTGCTTTTCTTATATAGTCAACATGTCTCTTGTTTTCTCCTGTTCATCTTCTTCTTCTGCTTGTTGTTTTTGTGTGTGTTTTGTGTGTTGTTGTTGATTTTGCCTTTTTTGTTTTTGTTTATCACAGCTTTCTTCTTCTACATACATACATTCTGCTCTTATAACATTTAGCATAACTTGCATATTCATATAAATTTGTTGTTGTTCTTCTTGTTGTTGTTATTAATGCATGTCTCTGAGGGCGACTCTTCGGTTGTTATTGTTGTTGTTCTTCTTCGCTATGACAATGTACATACTCGTAAGTCTCTTCTTGTTCTTACATGCTGTTCGCTTACCTACACAATTGTTTTTGTTTTGAATATTTTTGAATACATACATATATTGGTTGTAATATGCTTTGTTTTTGTTCTTTTTACATACATACAAATACAAATACACACTCACATACATATTTATAATATGCTTGCCTTTTTGGTGTTGTTCATTATTCGCAGTGTTGTTTAATGTTTTAATACATTACCGTTAGCGTTTGTTGATTCGTTTCATAATTGTTGCTAACTTTATGGTGTGTTTGTTGTGGTTGTTATTGGTTTTGCTTGTTTTGGAATGATTTACAAAATTTGTTTCAATTTAAATACAATAAATGGCATATAAAATATATATTTCTTTTTCGTTTCTTTCTTTTTTTATGTATACAAAAAGAACGTTACTCATACGCGGTGTTGGAAGAGTTCCAGTATTGACAAACATAGAACTAAACAAGTGTTGAAAAAATTTAATACTTTGCATGGCTCTAATCCAAATTATTCTCAATGCTCAACCGACAGTTTGAAATAAAATGTCAAGTACTTTGACAAATGAATGGCCACAATTATGAAAAGAACTAGACTCTATAATCGAATAAGCCGACTTTGGCATACCCTATACCAATTCTGAGATATTATAATAAAAGTAAAACTTTCCATTTTGATCATAAGTGGGAACATATCAGAGCAATTAATTGAATAGCACCAAAAAGTATTTGAAGTTACAACTTTCGGGTAACAGCAGCACATTTTTGCAGACGCCATTTGTCTTTCCATACCTCTTAACATATTGGGGATGCCTACTCTATTATACTCTGTACCCAAACGAGTACTCTGAATTGGCGCGAAAGTACACACATGCGAGTATGTAACGCCCAGAAGGAGTCATGGCATACCTTACATTCTAGATACGACCTTTTTTTTAACAAATATGTGTTCTAACCTATTATATATGTATAAAGAATACTATAGTCGTTCGATATTAAATAAATTTAGGAACTAACTTGTCTCCACATAACGCAAGAAAAATAATATAATCTAACTCTTTTATCAAACTTCAGAAACATTTGAAAAATAATATGTTTCTTCATAAAAACTACAAAATCATACATTTGGGTGGTAATGACAAATCAAAAAATATACAATTCTGTTTATCAAGAAGGATTCGTACTCTTGGAAAATTTTGATAAACTGCACAATTTACGGAATTGTAACAAATGTGTTAAACATTATAGACGAATAACGAGTTGTTTTCTTGGTAAATAAATTATAGAGGTATGGAATTTAGTCTGCGTTTTTAGGAAAGAAACTGGTTTGGTTTATGCTTAGAGATTGATTGATAAGTTTTTATAGACTGGGGTCGCAGGGTATACAAATTGTCGATATTTGTGGAAAACAAATTTCTCTTTTGATTAATGAAACATGCAACTCTTTATATACATAAATCTTACAATCTTTGCAATTAACTAGTTGTCGGCTGAGCAATGGTTTAAGTATTTTTGATTTCTTTTTTTTTTTTTTCTTTGTGGCTAGACTGGGTTTTCAGAGTTTTCTTTATGTTGTCTTATTTATTTTTTTGTATAATGCTAACGATATTCCGCTCCATTTGTTTGTTTGTTTGTGTGTGTGTGTTGTGTGTTGCCCAATGGCTTTCTCTTTGTTGTTGGTGTTGTTGTTGTTCATTACTTGGAAGCAGCATGACACATTTATCACATTTTGTTGTTGCTGTTGTTGTTGGTATGTACTAGACTTAACTTAATTTACATTGGCCGTTGCTGCTGTTATTATTGCTGCTAGCAGATTGTTTTGCTTCGTTTCCTACACATTATTATTTGCGCCCATTTACAAATTAATATTTGCTATTGAAATTCATAACATAAATACATACATATACAGAAAGAAGGAGCTTAATCCATTCTCATTATCTCGTTATCTAGATCGATAGATTGTGTAGAGTTGTTGTTGTTTTTGAGATCGTATTTCGAACTCGTCGCCACGCATGCAACAAGCTGGCAGGCTGCACGGCCGGTTGGCACTTGACCTTGACATAACATTGCAACAATTATGATTCTTGTTTGTTTGTTTGTTTGGTTTTCACATCTTGTCAGTCTTAAGTTTCAATAGATTTATTTAGATAGCTAGTTTTGAGCAAACTTCTCTGTGTTTTTGTGTGTGGGTTCTTTAACTCATCTTTCTCCAAATGCTCAAAAATGATCTTCAGGTACCGTTATTGGTTGTTGTTGGTTTACGTTTTAAGGCCCATTCACTCAAGGCCAACCGGCAGCGATGGCAACTGCTCTACAAGAAGAACTTGACGTGCGCGAGTTCGGTTTATCACGTTATTGTTGTGTACAACTTCTTAGATATTCTTGTGCTTCAGTTTAAATAATATTCATATATATATATATATAAATAATTTTGTAATAGTATTAATGTCTGTGCTACTCAAAACTGAAAGTGATTCTTGTTGAGGCGCAACACACAAAAGGAAAAAATTGTAATAATGATAAAGAAATGCATTGGAGCTGACACTGGAGCTCAACTGGAGTTTTACAAATTGTTGCTCTAGAGTCTAGAATGACAGACATACATTCAGTATTTTACATATTCATATACATATATGCGTTTGCAATAATTCGTTTTTCGTTTACGATTCGCTTGTTCTTACATAAGCTGCTAATATCACTTTTAACTACATAAACACACGGCGCTGAGTTGGTAAATATAAATACAGCTACCGCTATTGTTCAACAATTTAGTTCAGTAGGTCCATAGAATGGTCTTATACATAGGGAGTTACACACTCATTAGATCTCTCTCGAAATGCAATAGTATCTCCAAATTTCTTGAAAGTTTCTAGGCTGGTCAAATATAAAGAAAATGGATGAATTGTTGCAATTTTTGTTCACAGTCCAAGAAACTGTGAAAATAACTGAATTAAATCATAGTTTGAACAGAGACTTGTAATCCAAAAGATTACATGAAACAAATTATTGGAAAGGCAGTTATTTAAAAGATTAAAATACGATCAAAATTATTTTTGATTCTTCAAAAAGATTGTTTTTAGAGAATAGTAGCTTGGACATTTTTGAAAAATTTGGCCGACAATAAATGCTATTATTGCTTTTATTTTTCTTTTGATTGAAAAAAATAAAGTTTCTTAGGCGATGTTTTTAAAAATTGTTACTTGACTGCCCGACAAAAATTGTATTAAAAAAAAAACTTGATTCTAAAAAGATTCAGATTAGACCCATTCGCATTTTAAGTTCGACCATTTGAACTTGACTGATCTAACTCGATACTTTAAAATATCGTTTCCTCGTTTGCTGAGTGTGTGTGTGTGTGGTATTACATTTGTTGTTGTTGTTTGACATCGACATCGTGTATGTTTGTTACACAATTTACAAATATATATCACAATAAGGCGCTAAGTTCTTGCAGGCGTTTTACATTCGATACATTACATAAAAGTTAACAGTTTGTAGTTTTTAAGTGTTTTGTGCCAATTGTTGAGCATATATTTAGCTAGTTCTTTGTTGTTGTTTTTGTTGTTGTATAGCTCGCTTGGTCGTGGCTTATAATTAAACTATAAACGCTGCTGCGCTCTTTGATTTTCAAACAACACTCCTTTCTCTTCTTAACCCTCGTCAATTGTTATATTTTTATGTTTCGTTTTGTTTTGTTTCAATGATTTTAATCAAACATTTAACTTAGCTAACTAGACAATTTCTTAACAATTTGTTGATGTTATTTGTTATGCATTTGTTGTTGCTCGCACATACTGGCTCGCTTGCTTGCTTGCATTGTGTTGTTGCTTTGAATCACAGTTGTTGTTGCTTATAAAATGATGTTTTCTCAGTTGCTGTTGTTGCTGATTTTTTGTTTTCTGTTTTTTTTTTATAGCAGGTTTCACAATATCAACAAACGTTTCGTTTCATGCCCTACATACAATATTTTGTTCAGCTTAGATAAATTTGTGAAGTGCTTAAGTCTTTTGCTTTGCTCTTAAAATGTTGTTCCTTTCCATCTCCTGTTTTTCTTTTTACTTAACTTAACAAAAATTGTAAATAATTATTCATAAATTTCATTTGATTATTTTCATGTTAAAGAATTATTAACTATAAAAATGTTTTTTGCCAATATCATAAGCGTTTGCTTCCTGTTTCGCTATGGTTTAGGTATATGTATATAGAAAGTTCGATAACTTAACGACAAATGATTCTTAAAGAGGCAAAGTTTACGATTTCGCTTAGTGCGTTAATTTTGTTTAGTCCTACATATCCTGGATACACATACATGGATAATGCATGAGACCGCAAATTTCTATTGCGCTGGATTTGATCACGTGTCATGTTTTGTTGTTGTTTTTGTTGTGGTCGCTAATGCTTTAGCGTTTGTTGCACTTGTTGTACCATGACTTTGCTTGCTAACATATTTTGTTGTTGTTGTTTTTGGTAGTTCTTTTGTTTGTGTGTTTGTTGTTGCTGTTGTTGCATACTTTATAGCTTAGTTTAGTGGAGATTTGCTTATCAATTGCTCAGATCTTGTCGCATTAGCTCGTAAACGAACTTATCGCGCTTCTCTTCGAAAAATAGATCACAGCCCAGTGCAGGATGCAGATCGTCCAAGTCGATGGGCGACCATTGTCTGCCCAACTGTGTGCTGATCTCCTGTAATTAGTTAGATAAAGATTAAAAACATAAATTAAGCTGGTGAGTAGAACGTTAAAGTCGTGCCATACCGACCCTGTACCCACAATTTTTTCCCACTACAACCATTTAAAATTAAACAGCGTTCCATTTGCTGTTTAATGAACCGGTTTAGACGAAACTTCAAAGTATCTTAAGTCATAATGATATACGAAATAATACATATATGTAGATATACGGTTTACCAAGTTTCGAGTCCATAGTTATGTTTCATTTACGATTCGATATCGATTTACAAATTCCGTAAAATTACAAAATTACGCACAATTTACAAATTGTTTAAAGACCTGATTTAAACAGATTTTTACGCTAATATTCTATATTTCAAGTTATTAGCTTTGGAACTGAGGGAATATCATAAACAGACGGCTAGAAACAAACATGAACTTTGTTTTTTTTTTTCATATTAAATAAAAAAATTGGGCCTGCGCTTAAAAGTAATCTGCAGTAAGTAAGTAATCTTTCTCTACAGCTAAAGGCTATTTAATTAACTGTACAAATATCAGAAATTTTGAGCTCATTTACACCACTTACCTCCTTAAATCCCTGCTCGTTCCATCCGGACATATCCACTAAGGACACCTCCAAACGCTCTAGCTGACGACCCCGTAGTCGCGCCATGCCCACCACATTGTGCGGATCCATAATATAGCCATGGACAACTATTTCTCGCAGTTGTGCACAACGCCAAGTCATCATGACGAACGGGTCGCGACCAATGCTGCGAGTCATGTCGCGCATATGTGTGCGGCTGGAATGATTGCTTGTGGAGTCGACGTAGTAGATGCTGCGCAAAGTCTCACTATTGTGCACCGACATCCATTCCAAGGCGTCTAGATTCATGTAATCACAGAAGAGCATGCGCACATGCGTTAGGGGCATGTTGCGACGCAATATCCTGAACTGAAGCTGCTCGATGGCCTCGAGGGCATAGACCAGTGTTAATATCACTTCAATGCCCCGGAAATGCCAGGCGAAGTTGGCCCACGCTTGCTCCGAGACGCCATCGTGTTCGCCATCCAGACCATGGACAGCTATTAGCAATTTGCGCAATGGCAGCACCTGAATCGTATGTAACAGCTCATCACTGAGCGTATCATAGTCCAATGAGAGCACCTGGAGCCCAGCACATTTCTGGAGCAGCGTTGTATCCATGGCAAGTATGGGATAGTGACTAGGATCGTATTTGATGGAGGCCAGTGTGAGTTCCTGCAGCTCCTGCGGCTTACCTAGAGCTTTCAAAAAGTCCAGGCCATAATAGGTTAACGCTTCAATGGCACCCAAATCCAACAGCTGGCAAGGCATTTGTCGGCGACTGAGAAACAGCTTCAGTGGCTCGACAAAGCATCTGCAAAATGTAAAAAGTAAAATTAAATCTGAATTTATGAAACTGAAGAAATGAGTAATTCCTTAATTTCAAATTAAAGAGCCTATAAACTACAGTTGGACGTAAATTTGTGTGAGCTTATGTTATGCATAGAATTGGAAGATGTGGCACGAAACGTCATCAATAATTCAAATTAAATTTTTATTATATTATGTTTGCGGGAGCTGAAAAATGTAACAGGCAGAAGGAGGCGTGGCAGACCCCACAAAGTATATATATTCTTGATCAGCCTGACGATACAGTTTCACTATAATAGACTGATTTAACAAGAAGTTATAGCCATAAATATATTTGCTGCTGCTCAAGCGCTGCCCGCAACTGTTGTTGTTGTTGCTGTTTAGTTGACTGCTAACATGTTTACACAGACACGAATAGATGCGCATAGGCATACATACACCCACACAGACGCAATTGCTATGTAAATGTGCAATTATACGCCATTTACGTGAGTTCGAATACCGAGAAAGGTAAAATCGATCAAAAAATTTTTTTTTCTTAATTTTTTTCATTTTCTATAATTATTGTAAACATATTTACAGAGTATTTCAAAGTCGGGACAATCGACTTTAGCTTTTTTACTTGTTTTTTTATGTTTCCATGTTGTTTGGTTTTTGTGAGCTATTAATAAATCCCTATAGGACGAGAATTGTATTGCTCGTCTTAGTAAAAATAAATAATTCACTCATATTTGAACATAAACACAAACTTTAAATAAATTATATAGCCAGTGTACAGTTCTGACTTTAATGATGGGAAAAACAAAGCGCTAACAGTTTTTGGGGCCTACTTACTGTTCTATATCGATCTGTTGCTCGTTGTGCACATCGCCAACAGCTACAAGGCCAACATTGTGTGTTTTGAAACGCAATCCTCGAATGTTATCACAGCGCGCCACTCTATTAATCGAAGATAAGATGATTAAGTATTTAGCGAATGTCGGTTTGTAACTTACTTGTAAAGCAATCGCCGCATTTTTTGAATGTGCGCAACATTTCGAAAATCAAATTCAATGACAATCTCCTTGGCCACACCCGAGATGCGCAGACGGAAGAACGATAATTGAGCATCGTTGGCGACATTTATGTGAAATGGAAAGTTTTCAAAGTAGCTGCAAGAAAATGAAAAAATTATAATTATACACAACATAACATTAGCTTATACAATTAAAGTATACAATGGTCGGACTGTAGTTAAGCAAACTTAAGTGCCATAAATGAAGCAATTGATTGAGTGTCTTCAAGTACGTTGGTTTGGAAGTAGGTTTGTTTGTACGTGCTTGGGCGATTGAAACAGCTGTGTTTAGAAACATGTTTCGAAACATTTGCCTACAAAACGAGATATGTATGTCTGTTTGTTTGTATTAGTGCCTTTGTTTACGTGTGGCGACGTTGAGAAATTAATGTGTGGTAGCATATTTAAATAAATAAAAAGATTTTGATGTTTGTTAAGCTTTGCCAAAATGGTCGCCCACTGAACAGCTGTGCGTCATGAAGCAGTCAACACATATACATCTACACACACATACATGAATGCATATACTGTGTATATATAGGGCATAAACAATGGACCATTTGTTTTGTTGAGACGCAAAAATGAAAAGCAAACACGCACACAAACACACAAGTACATATGTATGCATGTTTCTACATACACGCTGTAGGGGACGGGGACTTACCGTTTTCGGAAGAGACATGAACGCCACTGGGAGCAGGTAGATGAGGCTGCAAACCGTGCAGTTGGGTCAAGATAATCGAAAATCTTAAGGAGCGCCAGCTGTGGTATTGCCTGCCATTGCGTCATAATGTTTTCAGTGACGTTGCCAGCCAGAATGCGCAATTACAGTGCGATTTTCACACGTTCGTTGCCGTTTGTGGCTGCACAAGTATTGAAGGCGTTGTGATCAATGCCACGACGCGGAATATGTTAATACGTTTTGGCTCACGAACTATTTAACTATTTATTTATTGTAACAAATACGAGCAAAAGCAAACTTGAAAATGTGACCAGCCATTTTAGCTAAGATTGAGATGGACAAAACAACCAGGGCTGCTAAATGCTAAATTAATCACGAAAATACCATTTTTATAATACTAAATATACCAAGAAAGTGTGCAATAATATATCATCAATATACAACCATTATATGAATAATATTTTATTTACAATTAATTTATATAAATAATTATAACGTAAATTAGGACCATTTAATTTGTTTGGAAAACCAAATTCGGTATACATGTTAAAATATATCAAAACTGGTAGCCCACCATATAACCGATGGTTACAATGTATGCTGTATATTTACGTTTCTACAGCTTGAATATAACTTCAAAATTCATATACATACATATGTACATATAATTTATCAGTTTGCCATCATGGTAGTGCGGTAATTTTTATACATTTAAGTTTTGAAAATCAAAAATGTAGGCACGTTCTGAGCAATGTCTTACAGCACTGCTTATGTGGCAGCATTCGCTGTTCACTCTTGCAAGTGCAGTTATCGATATCCCGGCATCATCGATGCCCTATCGATTGCATTTACTTTGACCATTTTTACACCTGAGTTATAGGAGCAATAATAACAGAAGGAATATTCAAACAAATGCCACAAAATGGTTAGCAGAGGTGTAGACAGGTGAATATGTACTGTGTGTGAGGACAAATGGATAGTAAATAAAGCCGTATAGACGCCAGTGGTGACCACTACCCATCGTTTATCAGTTATGCAATGCGTTAATTTCTCAAGTTCTACTTTGGAATGAAGAGCACATAATAAACAAACACAGCTTCCAATTATTTGCGTAATGCGCGTTTGTTATGTTTAAAAGTATATGTTTATGTGTGTGTGTGTCAGTGTGTGTCTGTCATGCAAATGAATCTCAGCCACAAATAAAATACATATTGCGGCTTTCGATGGCATCTATAGTCGAATGAAGGCCTTAACCTTGAACTAGCTGAAGAAGCACGGACTGAACCAGCGATAACTGTTATTTATGCTTTTGTCTCCCGCATACCCTTACAAGCAGTATTGCAAATTTGGCCTGATGTTTGTAACGCTTAGGAGGGAATAGCATTGGGTTTTCTGGATTCCATATGTATTTACATAAATGACAATGAAAGTGATTTTCCATTATCTTCGTATGTTAGTATTCAGATCCATTGGATAATATTTAATACAAAATAATTATGTTATGTATATAACAATTTTTGTGTTGAATCCATTAATAAAACAACTTTGAAGTTCTATTGTGGCTCTTAAGACTGATCTCAGATTCGAAGTCTTCCACTTTAAATTTAATATTGAATTAATGATCTTCCGAAAATGTAAAGAACGATAGAATTCAAGGGTATACAATCTTTGCCAAAATTAGGTTCCGTTTCTCTTGTAGATTTTATAATGGCTTTTCTTGTTTTATGCGCTTGTTTGCAGCTCGAGCAAAGTTCCAACTTTCCACGTGATACGCGAGGTTTATGATAGCAGCAATGCCCACGAGCGCTTCGAAGCAGAGCTGGATAAGGCGCTGGAAGCCAAGGTGGACTATATTATTATAGAGCCGCCACGACTGGGTGATGAGACCGGTCGTTGGATAACAGTAGGAAATTGTCTCCATAAAACAGCCGTGGCCAGTGGTGTTGTTTCACTCATTTCCAGTCTTTTGTGGCACGATCGACCGGTAATTGCAGCGCCGGTTTGTGCCATATCGCTCTTTTGTACGGGTCTGTACACGGTCTCCTGGAATTACGATCCCTGTTGCCAGTACCAGGTATTAGTAATTAAGCATAGTGCCGTCGGACTCTCTTATATTCTTTGAATGTATTTATACTAATGCCGTGCCCCCATGCTAATTTTTACAGGTGGAGAATAACGAGGCCGTGTTAAACAAACTGCCGTTAACAGATGTATCCTCGCCTGTGATTTTGGGCTATTCCCCAAATACAAAAACCAAATACTTGCATAGAGGAGTCACCTTCTTATCGGCAGCTCTGTGCGCGTGGCAGATTTGGCGATCGTACAAGTAAAATACGAAGCGGAAGCAGCAATCAGAAGTAGCAGCTACAGCAGCAGCAGCCACAACAATGGGCGTGGCAGCTTTCAGAGGGCGCCAACTTTCATTTGTTTTAAAAAGAAAAACTAACTGGCTTAAGTTTAGTTAAAGCGCATCGATCGCCATAGTTCATGCATTTCTTTAACAATTTTCAAATTTTTTTGGCATACAAAAATGTGTTTGTTAAATCTTAAAGTGTCTTTCATGCAAGTCAAAAGTGTTATACTCTTCCATCATTTGTATTTTTTTGTGTGGATATGTCTATGCATGTTGTTGTCTTGTCGCAGCAGGCTATTCTTCCACTTCCCCTTTAAATGCTGCTGTGTATAACTTATTATAAATATCCTAGTTATTAATTCAGAAGCAAAGTCTTAAAAAAATACAAATAAATATAAATCAAATTTAGTCAGGAGCAATGAAAGCCACGGCTCAAGCACTGTAATTTAATTAAGCGTAAAAATAACAAATGATTTCTGTATAAAAATTATCATTGTTATTAGATTTAAATATTTAGGCACTGCAAGGGCATTAAATACGTATTTAGTCAAAGGAAAATTAAATAAACTCGAGTGAAATAAATTGTTTTGTGAAGTAGAAGGACGTGTGCAATATATATGTACATACATGTGTACATACATGTCTGCCTGTCTGTGCATATATAAACAAGCTAGATAATAATTATAATCGGATGAGAAACGGCAATATTTGGCAGTCGGCAAATGGAACAAATGCGAAGAGGCGTCTGGGCTCATATGGTCGCTGATAAGGCAAGATGAAAGCAAGTGCGAAACAATTGAATGAGTCGCTTTGTATCAGCATCAGTATACAGGGTGCCTGGTAAGAACATAAATTTTAACAGCAGAGATTGTAATTCCCATAATTATAATTGTAATTCACAATAACGGTTATTGCACTCGTAAAAGTAGAATGTGAAAGTATTTCCAATCTGAATAGGTGAAAAAACGATTAGGTTAGGCTACAAAAGATCGATCACTCGTACTTTTGTTTCGTTTAAATTCGTTAATTATAAACCGGTTACATACTCAGACATATTCCGAGTTCCACTAATTTTCACGAAATTACCGAAAAGTTTTCATTAAATTATATTATATTCTCAAATGTATAGTAAAGAAAGAAAGTGACCATCGGGACACTGCTGTGTCACAAAAATTTTGCTATGATGCTATATAACACATAGTAGGATGCAAAAGTTTGTGATTAAAAAACTACAAAAGTCTTTTTTCATATTTTAATTATTAAAGTATTTCATTTTGTTGAAGAATTCGTATGTGACTGTCCTATTTAAAAATTTACAGGCATTAAATTTTTCTATTTCAATAAGCATTTAAAATTCTACGAAGTTCCGAGCATTAATTTGTGAAAATTTTGAAGGATAGGATGTATATTCATAAAATATATTTGCAAACAGCATTCTTTTTTATGTTTAAAATTTCATTTAATTTATTCATATTTCAAAACTGTTGGTGTTGAAAGCAGAGAACTTTCAAAAACCTTATATAGAAATATATAGACGATAAACGCTGGGTTAGAGATCATTTCTTAGTTCCAGTCTATTTCATTACAATGAATTAAGCCTCGGTTTGGTTTCTATTTTTAAATATATTCAGAGTCACAGTAGCATTAACATTAAATGGAATAAAAAGAAACTTTTTATTATAAATGAAATCTTCCATTATTGGATGTTAAGTTAATCATAAATGTCAACATCCCTTGACTTAAATGAGCTGGAATTATGATGGTACCCTTGTCTGTCTCGGTTCATATCAGTCAGCCTGTATAATAGGAGGAGTGGAAACATTTATTATAGAATATGGTAAACATTTGTAAAGCGACGTCATACGGGCTGTCCAGTCAATGTTTCAGTCGCTACAAGACTAGTTGTCGGTGCACGGTTTATTGATGTAAAGAAATCGGTGAATATGTAGGGCCTTGGCTAGAAAAATTCCAGTGCGAGCCAGTTGAAAGCTGAACTTAACTAGGACGCACTAAACCGATTGCAGAGCTCGGTCTTTGTGGGCAGGAGGCGGGCTTAGTGACAAATATTAGTCTAGAGCATCACCTGATATCAATGGATGGTGAGTGAGTGAGTGCGTGAGATACAAAATGACGATAAGATATGGTTAATTATTGTGATACTGAAAAGTGTATGCCAAGTAGTCGGTTTCAAGCTGCAGTACGTTGGCGGGCGCTGCGCAGAATGCCGCTCTTTGTCAGCCCATATAGCTTGCAGGCGATTGTCAAATATCAGGCCCAACAAGATCACACAAGTCTTGATCACTTATGCGAGTTGGCTTATCGACTGAAGTGTTTTATCACAGACCAGCTGCAACATGTGATACTATTTGCTCTATATTTTGCAATGCTAGCACCACAATGTGGAGGTCGGACTGTCGGCAGAACATCCGCATCCAAGTCGGTATCGTATGGCAGCATTAATACCGCGATTGCCAGCTCCGGAGTCGAAATGGGGAATGGCGATGTTTGCTGCATTACGATCGAAGGTTGTGAACGCACGCCATTGCTCTCTGGAGTTCCAGTGCCGGCAGCGGAGGAACTTAAGAGGCATACTCTATACCACCAGCAACCCAGATGCCTCAATTGCCGCATCTTTGGCTTCCTGCTGCTGGTTTCCATGGGCATTGGTCTGGCCATTTATTTGCTTTGGAAAGAATGTGAGTTTTTCTATTGCATTTTTTGCGTTAAATTTAAATGATGCGGGCCGCTCAAGTAGTGGGCTTTACGATTATTATTTTTATATTATATACGAGTATAAATAAGGCATGCCTATAAATCAAATTGTTTGTTAGAATAAATAGAGATACATACGAGTAGAACCAAATGCGTTTTATTCATCTATATTTGTAAAAGCTTATAGCTTATGATGAAATGGCAATAAAATGGGTTGGAGCTCTACAGGTGGTTGAGGTAGTTAAGAAACTATGTATATGAAGATATAAACTATATAGCTATATAAACTAATCTTAGTCAGTTTATCTATTGTACAGACTGGAATACTATTCTACTTGTATGTTCATTAAAGAGCTGTTGTTTTTTTTTAAATGATAGCATTTGACTCGACAATATAAACAATATATTGTTGATTTTTTCGAATTGTGCGAATTTAAAAATGTATCAGAAAGAAGGAGGCGTGGCAGACACCACAAATTATATATTCCTAATCAGAATGACAAGACGAGTCGATTAAGTCATGTCCATATAGACCTCAGATACTGTAAAAGTAAAAGAAACACCAGCACAGATGCCTATATGTGTACACTGTGCGAATTTGTTTCTTTTTTCAGATTTACGGGAGTTATGGAAATCACTTATAGCGGGGGAGTGTGGGTGCATTTGGAAAAAAGGTAGACTTCGTTTGTCTACCGCTTAGGGTGATCAAGCTTGGGTATTCTTGTATTTCCTGAGATCCTTTGGTTCATACAGACGGACAGAAGGAGGGACATTCCTCCATTCGAATTGTCACCCTGATCAAGAATATATATGTATACTTTGTTGTCTCTGCCACGCCTCTTTCTCCCTGTTACAAAAATTCGCAGGTTACAAAAAGTGCTGGACATTCTTTAGCAGCATAAATTAATAGTGAAATTGTTCTTTACAGACATGTAAGACTCTTATTCGGGCTGGTTCAAATTGTTATACTCTATGTGGAGTTACTGAATTACAAGAAATTTGATTTTGGAAAATGCGATCCGCAAATGATATTTATTACAATGGGAAACACGTATTTCCCAGCCCTGCTAAATTTGCTTTTTTATTAAATATATGGGTTATTTTGGGTAAAGTAGTACACCCGGTTTAATTTGAAATTAGAAAGTTGCTCTGTTTTCTGTTTTTGAAAATGTCTTACAACGAAACGTTATTTAGTTTCGAACAGATATTTCAAAATTAACATTTGGGTTAACTTTCCATGTGCTGGAATTTTGCTGAGAACATAAAATCTTGGAGTAAGTTACGGCAAAAATAAAATGTTTTTGGATGATATTTGAATATTTGGATATTACTGGTAACAATTTTAAAAAATAATCAAGTAAACAATTTTTAAAATTACAAACAAGTTATTAAAGTGCTGTTGGCTGAGAAACGAATTGCAGCTTTACCTGTGTTTTAACCTGAAACAATTGATTTTACAGAAAAGTGGTGTATCCAATTTAAATTTCACAATTTCATGTATAAGCTGATGAAGTATAAGAGTATGTTCAGTAAAGTGAAGGTTCTCTGCTATGAAGGAACTCAAAACTATATTTTTGCTAGCAATAGCAAGTGCAGGGGCGTTTGTTGAAAACCATGAAGAAGTATTTGGATTTGGATCCTCGGAATACTTCGACGATGCTAGAATAAATAATGGTAATATAATAATGGTATCAGAACAATTTTATACATAGTTGTTACTTTTAATCGGAATTGCAGACCTAGCGAGTGTGGATGACTTTGAAAATGTTGAACTTTCGGTAGATTATAACATAGTTGGACGCATATCTAATGGCACTCTGGCAAAACAAGGTGACATTCCTTACATTGTAGCCGTAAAGCCCAACGGAACTGCTATGTGTGGAGGAAATATCATCGATAGTAAATGGGTATTGACGGCAGCTCATTGCCTTTATAATTATAAATATGCGATAATTATCTACGGTACGGTCTACATTAGCAATCCACAATTCTACTATAATATAAGCTCTACATCGTTCTGGTTGCATCCTCAATTTGAACTTCCAACGCATAAATGTGACATTGCCCTGATCCGTATCCCAGAGGTAACATTCACGGAATATATAAACTTGATTCAATTACCCACAACTGAAATTAACGAAGACTTTCTTGGAAGACGGGCCCTAATAGCTGGTTGGGGCGTTACTAACAAAGGCACCACCAAAGTCAAAAATTTGCTCTATGCCCACGTGCGTATCAGTCCTAGTTGGAAATGCGCAGTTATGGACGAAGAATTTCACAAGAATAATATTTGCGTTGCTCGGTATGAAGGCAAGAACACCTGTAGAGGGGACTCTGGCGGTCCGTTGGTTGTGAATGGAACACAGTCCCCGATCCTAGTTGGGGTTATGAGTTTTGGCTTTGATCTAAACTGTGAGACAACTAAGCCAGTAGCTTTCACAAGGGTAACACGACACTTGGATTGGATACATGAGACGATGAAAAACAACGAATTCTGATTACTAGATGCATATTACAAGTTATCACGACTTATAAATTAACACGAATGCGAGCTATATATGGACAAACTCCTAATTATGCTGCAATCACTTCTATAATAATGTATTTATTAAAAATTAAATAACAAAAATGAAAAATATTTCAAAAATTTTAAAACTGCTCCTATTTTTTCTAATATTGTTAGGTTCCAAAATTAATAAAAAAAACAAGATACGACTACTATTAAAATTTATATTCATATTTATAATTGAAACTGAACGCTTATCTCTGATTAATAGTAATTATATCTAACAATTAACATTGGGGGAAAGTTGGGTTATTTGCTTTTCGGCAAGCCATGTCCCGTCTCACAGCTAAGTGTGGTCAGAGGCGTCTATAGATCTACCAATATAAAAAGAAAAATTTAACAGAGAGAATTACATAGAATTAGTTAAAAGCCAGATAAAGATAGAAACAAAAAAAGATATACAAAAAAAAAAATCGAATCTCAGACCCTGTTCGGCAAGCTATGCCCCGTCTTACAGCCATTCCTGGCCAGAGATTTCGTAGATGGCTGAAAAGAGAGGCTTTTATTAAGATTAAGATTAGAAAGAGACAGTTCAGCTAAAAATATTCATTGGCTGCATAAAACCTGATAAGGATTGTGCGATGCATAATCAGTTGTACATCTATTAAGAAGAAGGGAAAGATAATTTCGTATTGTTCTGTAAGGAACTGAGAAATTAAGATGACTTGAAAGGAAAAGAGAGTCAACATTACCAATAATGAGTTTATGGAGAAATATAATTCCAAGGGCAGTCCTCCGATTAGCCAATAAAGGAAGATTTTTAAGCAGAAGTCTGCTTGAGTAAGGCGGCAAACGAAGGTTGTTTACACTTTATAGTAAAATGTATAGCTACAAGGGCGAGGGAGAGGGAGGGATCCTGCCCCCCCCCCCCCCCTCCAAAAAATTTTGCCATATAAAGTCGACTACACGTTCATTATTATGACTTACTATTTCGCCTTAAAATGTAACTAAGTTGGATTTGTTGAAGTTTTTTCATTGATCATATGTATAAATTATTTTTTAAATGCATCGTGCATTATTTAATCAAAATTTTAATTTTTTCTGCCCCCCTTTTGTAAAAGCTGCGTACGCCCTTGTATAGAATTGTTAAGAATATAGAAAGCTACAGATTAAAAATAATCGCTGACTCTAATGATTGCATTCTGCTTTGAAAAAGATGTAATCCTCTCATTAGTAGTATCCCCAATGATGCAGACCAGTTAATTTTTTTTATTTACTACAGCCCGACTGCCCAGCATTGGCTACACACTGTACCTTGTACACCACGATATTTGGAGTCGAGCCCTGCTGCCGACTCAGACATTGCTGGAGGCGAGCAATGTGTTCAATGTCTACATCACACACACGGGCAGCGCCGAGTGTTGGCATGTGGAGGAATGTCTGGACATACTCCATGGCATGCAGGTGAGTAGGGAGTGTGTATGTGCTGGGGAAGTGAAGCAGTAGAGTGACCTTTACGAGTACTCTGTCGCAGCGCGGTCTCACCGAGGAACTGCACTACAATTTCCTAATTGCCGGCGATTGCCAAGCGTATGAGGCACGCGGCTGGCAATATGCCAGCGGCCAGGATCTGCTGCCTCAGGCCACTTCATTGGTGCTGGCCTTCGTCGGCGATTTTACTCACCTAGCGCCCAGCCTCTGCCAATTGCAGACGGCGCAAGCCCTGCTCCTGGAATCTGTTAAACATCACAAGCTGCAGGCCAACTACACGCTCTATGCCCTGGATGTGGATGCGCTGCAACATCAGGTGGCGCAATGGCCGCACTTTTCTGGGACTCGAATCAGTATGTAAACTAAGGGTGCGTATATAAAGGTGAACAATTTGATCAAATCTTTGGATAATTTGGGATAACGCTCACCACTTTATATCAGGACTGTCATCTGGAAAAACCCATCGCCTGCAAAGATTTTAGGCCAGTTGTAAAGGAAGAAGGTACGTTTGTTTGCGCCGAAGCTAAATACCCTGCATCATGTCTTATGGGCCCGGAATATGTAATGTGTACTCTTCTTAACATAAAATATATGAGTAGTCTAGGATATTATTTGCTGCTTGCTCAGATCGCGTGAGACTGGCCACAATATAAACGAAGTTTTCTGTTGCTTTGTCAATGCAAATAAAATAATGAGTCGATCTGTATTATTATTAAACAAGTAAAAAAACTAAAGTCGGGTGTCCCGACTTTGAAATACTCTGTACATATGTTTACAATAATTATAGAGAATAAAAAAATTAAGAAAATTAAAAAAAAAAATGTTGATCGATTTTACCTTTCTCGGTGCTCGAACTCACGTAAAGGGTGTATAATTGCACATTTACATAGCAATTGCGTCTGTGTGAGTGTATGTATGCCTATGCGCATCTATTCGTGGCTGTGTAAACATGTTAGCAGTCAGCCAAAGCAACCGCATCAACAACAGCCGCGGGCAGCGCTTGGGCAGCGCTGCAGCAGCAAATATATTTATGGCTATAACTTCTTCTTTAATCGGTCTATCATAGTGAAACTTGACATACGGACACATAATAACTAACTGGGGGTATTTGCAAAATTTTAGTTCGAAATTCCAAGAATTACGGGAGTTAGAGAATTGACGATTTGCGGGGGAGAGAGGGGAGGGAGGGAAATTCCAAAATATACTTTTCTGCGTATCCACACAAGGCATCTTGGACTAAAAGTTTGTGTTCCTAGGTGTTATAGTCTCCGAGTAAAATTTGGTGTTCCTAGGTCTTATAGTCTCCGAGATATAGGCGATTATACGAATGGAAAATCGGGAAAACCCCCATAGGGGGGAAGTGGGGGGAAATCAAAAAAATAAAACAAACTCGTATAGAATACACACATAAGGCTTCTTTGTGCAAAATTGGGTGTCTCTATCTCTTATAGTCTCTGAGATCCAGGTGTTCATACGGACGGACAGACGGACAGACGGACAGACAGACAGACAGGGCTAGATCGACTCGTCTCGCCATGCTGATCAAGAATATATATACTTTGTGGGGTCTGCCACGCCTCCTTCTGCCTGTTACATTTTTCAGCTCCCGCAAACCTTATATACTTCTGTACATTTCATATACAGAGTATAAAAACTCAATTAATAGAAGCCTGATAAGCTGTTATACCAGATCTTCACAGGGGGTTTTAGATGAGGGTTTTACCCTTTTAAAAAATACAATTTTTTGTCAATGCAATAAAATGTACAATTAGAAGTTCGACTTAATACAAATTTAATCAAAACCCCGAAATATAGGATCAACAGCTCACAGGTAACAAATTTGGACAGTTTCACGTTGTTTACTCAGAAAAAGAAACAAATTGAAATTACACCTAAAAAGCGAGCAAAAATTTCAAAAGCATACAGTTCAAAGCCCCACTAGCTAATATTTACTTTCAAGTACCTGAAATCAAAAGCCTAAACAGTTTCGCATTTATAAAAATAGGCATAATAACATTTGGACAAATCAATCGAATTTTAGCCGTTTTATTAAATCGGTTGCTTGTGTGAAATGAATTAAATAAAAAATAGTGTTGTTTTGTTTCCTTTTTTTTATTGTACAAACAATTAGTTTACAAATGAAAGAAAGCGCAGGAATATTAAAGCGGGTGCCCCCTCTCAAAAAGCAAGCCTGTGCCGGCGTGGCAGGTGGACGCGAACCTTTCCACCTTTAATCACTGAAATGCAAAGAAAGCGTGGCGCATGCAAGCGCCATTAAAAATTACAGTTAATACTAGATATTAAATTGTATTGTTGTATTGTTATTGTGGGCCTAGTCGAACTCCAGTTTTCGAAAACTGCCCTCAATGGACTCGATCTGTGAGACGAAATTGGTGCCCGAGCTGCTCTTCTCCGAATTGTAGCTGCTGCGACGTTGAATGCCACGATCGCTCAACAGAGCGCTCTCATCCAAGCTCAGGACCAAATCACGTTTGGCCAAAAGCTCGGTTTTCCACAGCTCAATCATCTCTCGCATGGGCATGGTGCCGCCCATTTCCTGGGGCAGGCAGGCCGCATCTACGCCCTTCATCAGTTCCTTCTCGGTGCTGTAGATGATCAGGCGGTTTTTCATTTTGGAACTGACGCGATTTTTCACAAAGTCAATCAGCCATTTCAGTGTGGAGGGCACATTGATCAAATGTATTTCCTTGTGACGTAGCGGCAACGATTGTTCGCCCCACTTGAAGATGCGTGCGAACTCTGTGGGATTCCAATTGGTGACATGGGCCGTTGAGACGCCCGCAAAATCACCAACGTGCGTTAGGCCCGTTATTTGGGTCTCCTGCTCCTCCATCAGGCACTCGTAGGTGAGAAAATGTGCTTTGGCCTGATCGCAGCTGGTGTGAAACTTTGGATTCAAACCTTTGGCATTGATAACAACGACGCGTCGTCCGTGTTTGTCCCGCTGTGGGACCGCAAATATGTAACCCTGTTCGATGAGATCGCGCAGGCGCGGCTCCAGGAAGTCCAGCTTGGTGCTCATGTGTGGAAAGGTGCGTCGAATGTTCAAATACTTGAGCAGCGTCTGCTCGGCCATGGGTACACTGAATTTCTTGGCGCGCAGAAATCTCAACAGAAAGGTATCATCACAGCGCACATTTCGCAAATCCTCATTCTTCAACACCCAATTCCGCAACTGCTCCAAACTCTGTTCACGCGTGCATTTGTCCTCTCGCAACTCTCGCTTGGCAATCTTCAGCAGCGATTCCGACAACTCCACGTCTTTAATATGGGATGTCTGTTCGGTCGTGGTTTCCTTCATGGTTCGGTTGTTTCGTGTTCTCGACGTTGGCGGCAGGATCTGTAATTGTAAGAAATTTGTGGTGAGTTTACAAATTAGTGACGGAATTTAAATTCATTTTAAAATAATATAAAATCGAAATCGCGTTAATCAGAAGTAATTCAAAAGCACGTTGTTCAGATTTGTAAAAAAGGCTGTTGCGTCGACCAGTAGATGGGTTCAGATCCTGCAGAGTAACGCGGCCTTTGACTAACTGCGAAATCGTATGTCGATTTCATCTCGAGGATGTTGCTACTAAATAATATATTTATTATGTATTATGAATGCACATTCAAACACACTGCAGAAATATAAACCTCGGAAATTTTGAATTGACATTTTTTGGAATGAAGCAAATACTTTGCAATGTATTTAACATTTTTTGTAATTTTCCTTTTTTTTAAATGCTAAAAATGCTTATTGATTGTTAGTCATTGAAGAATGATTACGGATCGATATAAACACATTAAAAGATGCTACTTAATTCGGTTTATGTAGGATGTCGTTTTCATGGGCCGGCCAGAAACATTTTGGACTGCTCTCGTAGTAGTAATATTTATCTAAGCACGTATTTAATTGTTTTTCTAATGTACTCTGCAAATTCAACGTGTTTCTGTTTTAATTGAACTTAACAATTGGAGAGCACTATTATTTTTTTAATATGCTGATTGATTTCTGATAAAGTTAAACTAAACTCTTCTACATTTGGGGTAGCAGCTGCCATGTGATATCTCATTGTTTTAAATATTTATCATGTTCAATAATTAACTTCCATGGCTGTTGGACAAACCGCTTCCTGTGGCACTGTCCGACCTTCCCTTCAAAGGTTCCCCCAATTTGCTTCGATTTGGTTGCATTTGGTTATTCAAGTGATCGTGCAGAGCGCTCAAGAAAATTAGCCCAAGGCCCAACTCAAGGCAGCAGCGCGTTGTAATTTGCAAATCTTTGCTAATTAAAATGAAAAAAAAAAAAAAAAATGAAGAAGAGCGTGTGCATATTTCTTGAAATATTAACTAAATGCTAATACCAAACCATAACAATAATACCAAAGCAATAATAAAAGGCAAAAAATAAAAACGTGTATAAATTATTTGACTGCTCTTTTTCCCCCCTTTTCTTCTGCTGTCCCATTATGACTTTACAATATGCCGAAAACCCGAAGTCGTGAACAAAAAGCCGCCCCTCATCAACTGCAAAAATTATGTAGTTCAAGTTCAAAACTGTTTACGAAAAGCAGGTCAGAAAAAAATGCGCACGATTTATAAGTGTAGATTAAAAGCTGACTGTCTGACTGTCTGACTGACTAGTCCGAGTCAAAACAGTGTAAATTGTATTTGGTTTGAGTTGAACAGAGCGCATGATTAGTTGGCGAGAAAGAGTTCAAATGTTTGCTCAGCTACTCTTGCGAAATATGTATGCATTCGAAATCACTGGCGGAATTGGCTCCGAAGTCGCCGCCAGTTAACTGAAAGCCCCGCCATTGTCTCCGGCCAGCCGACGAACAGCTGAAAAGGCCGCCAGCTGATGACCAACGGGTCTTGAGTTAATAAACAATGCCCGCTGCTATTTGGCTGGGCTTGGAGACAGGGGCAAAAAGAAGAGACACAATACCGAATCACCGAGGCGCAAGCTTGTTTATGTATAAACAAAAATGAAAAGCCAAAAGCAACAACAACATAATACATTACAGAGATGCACAAATACTATGTATAATTAACAATTTGTTTGACTGTTTGATTCGCCATAATATTTATTTTTTGCTCAGCCGTTGTAAAATTTTAATTATAATTACTTAATGCATTTGAATAAAGAGTTTGGTAGTTGTGATTGGTTTTAGTTTTGGTAAATACGGACTACAAATATTGAGGGCTTGTATAGAGCTAAGACATTTTTTTTTTTAAATTTAAGATTGTCCATACAGCGTTCGGATGCTTATTAACGTTGAATTTGATTTAATTTTTCTGATCTTCTAATATACTTTATTTTAATCAATATGTTTTGCTTCTTGTATTATGAGTTTTCAAAATTACCTTTAAAGATTTCTATCAACAGTTCTAAAAAGTTATCAAATGGAAACGAAAAGTAAACGAAAGCAAAAGTATAAGAAACTGTTCAATGTACTTATGTTAACTTTTTCTTTATTTTATAAGCAATAATATTTATTTTTAAGTACGTTTGAAAAAAGTATCTAAATTTTTGAGATAAGTAAAATGTGCTGCTTTTGTAAATATTAGCAAAGCTTTGCCAGCTATAAGAAAACTTCTCAAATCCAAAAGTAGACTGAAAGAGTAATACGATTATTACATGGGGGCATGTATGTATTTTCTGATGTCAGAAATGCAGAAATGAATATCACTTTTTACTTCCCACTCTGTTATTTGAAATGCTCCATTTCGTATGCGCTTTCACTTTATATAATTCTTAGAGGCTTTTCGTGTTGGTCGCTTGTCTTTGATGTGGATATGTGGAGGCAGATACATAGATATGTTTGTATGGCATGCATTTGCATTTCGCTTTTCCAACTGGAAATGCTACTTTAATATGCAAATCCAGATGTGTTGGCGATTGAGCAATAAACGCGGCGCATGCGCCGTTTCAACATACTGCTTGCAGTTTGTCTGTGGTTTTGGTTGGTGGTTTTGTAAAAATTGAGATTTCAGTAAGATTATTATTATTTTTTTTATATTTATATTGACCAACAAGAAACTAAATAATTACATTTGTTATTATTTTTTTATTTTAAATTTTAGTCAAATGCTGCTATTTTCTTTAAATTCTACAGTTTTCATTTTCTTAAGTGATTTTTTTACATCTGTTTATTTTTAAATTTTCTAATAAATGGAGATTTCAGTAAGATTAGTGTTATTTATTATTTTTTATATTAATATTGGCCAAAAAGAAACTTAATAATTATATTTGTTATTATTTTTAGTAAATTTATGCTATAGTTTTCATTATTTTTAAGGTTGTTTTTACTTCAATTGATTTTATAATTTTAAATGTATTATTTATTTCACATTTTACAATTATGTTAATTTAATTTATTTTATAGATATTATGCAGTGTCTTTTTTTTTTTTTTTGGGATATTTTAAAATATTAAAATAAATCACATCTCCTTTATAGAAGCTTCTAAAATTTCTATTTTAAAATCTTAAATATATTCCTCAATTTTCTTTAGATTTATTCGAATACTCGTATGTTCAGATCTTCGCACTGTTTTCACACTTAAACTGCACTTACACGCTCAAGCCGTAAACAATCTTTTTCAATTGCTACTGATAATTACTATAACCCCAATCCAGACGCCTACTGGCGCGTCACACGATGCGTATGATTAATGCCAAAATGCCAGCACGAGGCGAGACGACGCGAAAAACCAACAGCAACAAGCCACACAATAATACCCCAAGACGCACGGGATGGTGTAAAACTTTTATTTTAAAAATAAGATTGTTTAATTTACGTTTTTAACTGATTACTGTGGTCAGGGATTTGGCTTTTTTTTTCAGAGCGAGCGATTCGAAGGCACAAAAAGCACGACTCGCCAACGCCGACGTCTGAACAACGAATGACTTCAATAGCTTTTGGATAAACGAAAAAATAAGAAAAACAACGAAAAATTTTAAAGAAATTAACTGGATTATATAATGACCACACACACTAGCAAAGCAACAACAACTACAGCAACAAGACACATATTCGTACATATATAGCGCCTATAGCCGAATGCAATCCGAACGCGCTTTTTCAGACAATTGGTAAATGCTGCTGATGTTGTCGTTGTACTCGTCGTTGTTGGTGCTGAAACTGATGTTGTTGTTGTAGTTGCTGTTGGTTGTAGAGTTGCAGCCGCTGCTGCTGCTGCTGTTGCTGCTGCTGTTGATGCTTGCGATTGCTTTTGGAGGGAACGAGTTTTTCGAAAACCGAAAGTGCGCGTATGACACATGGCGAACCTTTTGGCAGACCCCACAGTGGTCACAAAATTAATTGGTGAGTAAAGAAACGCCAACAAAAAATTTAACTTTCATTTAAATAATTTAAATAATAATAAGATATTTTTTAACTAAAATTCAATATACAAATATATTACGAGTATATTAACAATTTAAATAAAAATCCCATATTTTTTCATATTTCCAATGAACAAAAAATGTTTATAAATATGAAAAATAAATGCAATACTTTTCAAGAATTTGAAAGAATTTGAGAATTTGCTCTATTTTCAATTCCATAAATCTATACTTTTAATAGAATGACTGAACTAAATATAAACAGCTTTGAAGACAACCTTAGGTTGGATAAAAGAATTTGAATCTAATTTGAATCACGAAGAACGCTACATTCTCAAAGGAGTCGAACAAATGGAAATAAATAAATAGTGCTAACTATAAACATTTTTAAAATTATATTATAATAAAGTGCAGACACACAGTATTAGACTAGACGCCTACTCGTACTCGTCATAAATTGTTCTTATAACAATAATTTTTACATAGTATAAACATGTTAATAAAAATATAAAATCTATTTAATATATAAATAAATCTGTATCTCATGTTGATGAATTGAACCAATTTTAATTCATTGAATTTAATTCATGTTTGAAATCCTTTTCTTTAGTTTTCTTTGTAGCTCATTAGATTATATGTGTAGCTCTCTACAAATGACTGATAGAACAGATGTTTATTTGTATAATGTTTAAGAAATTTTATTCAACTTTTTCTTCAGTTTTGTTTCTTAGTGGATCTTAGTGGATCATGCCAGTAGCTGATCAAATGACTGATAGAACGGAAATAAATTATGTTATTAAATTGTATTCATATTTCATATATTTATTCAGTTTCTTTTTTAGCTCAGTGGATTATAGGTCTACAAATGTTTGAACTACTACAACTACAATTTGCTTTTCATTTGATTAATTATTTTGATAATATGATTAGATTTTTTAAAATACTTATATAGGCCAGGCTAAATTAGAGCACAGTGTGAAATGGACGATGTTTAAGGAAACCTAAATTTCTAAATAAATATTGAGATTTAGGCTGGGACCACTGTCTCACTGAGACACCAATGCATTGGTAGCCTGTTGCCAGCAGGCAGCCATCAAAGGTACGTTGTTACTTGTTCACAAAAAAAAAGAGCCAAAAACCCATTTAAACGCTGCGCTCCACAGCTACAGCTACAATAACAGCGACAGCAACAACATCATTTCTGTTGGGCAATCTTAGTCAGTCGGTTGCTTGGTCAGTCTGTCAGCCAGTCAGTCAGTCAGTCAGTCAGTTAGTCAGTGTGGTAGTCAGACTGTGTGGTAAATCAGGTTCGCTTGCGGTTTATATTTTTTTGCTTCTGCTGCCTATTTTACTTTGTTTATTCATTTTCTAGTGTAAAAGTTGTAATGATTAGACTGATCGAAAATATAAAAACAAAAAAATATGGACGCTGGTAAAATTTGCATTTTCATGCCACGGCAATCAATAAAGCAGAAATGCTGTCGATTTTCAAGCCCCACATTCCAATTAGACAGTCAGTCAGTCAGTCAGTCATTCAGTCAACTGCATTTGGGAAACCTTGAAAGCATGCATGCAGGCAGGCCCAGCTGGGCTTTGAGTCAACCTTAAAGCGCTATATGGTCTGAGCGCTGAGTGCTTGTTGTTGTTGTTGTTATTATTGTTTGGTGCTGGCGTGCAAATGATGGTTTTGTTGATAACATGGTTGTTGTCACACCTAGTAATGATCTTGTTGATGCACGAGTCGCAGCATACGACGTCATCATTGAAAACATGTTTGCCAACTTGGTTTTAGGGCGCAGATTGATTGAAATTTGATGTGGCTGCTCGCGAGCCGCTTACAATTTACTTGAGAGCCTATATGTATATATTTGAATGTATATCGGTGTGTGTGTGTGTGGACTGACTACCTATGTTAAACAATTATAGTAATAGGGTCTGAGGTCATTTATTTTTAAAGTGAAAATCATTGGCTTTGTTAGTTTTTTTTTATTTTTTTTTATTTTGGATATTGCCTAATTGAATGATTGGCGAAGGGCGGCGAGGTGCTATTAAATGCGTCAAATTGGAGTCAGCGGAGAGTGTGAACAGATGGATACGGTAAAAGCTGTAAAAGCTCTGGAAATGGTAATGGTGTGATTATTGCTGATAAACTATTGCAATAGGCCCAAAAGGGAAAGGTAGTCGGCAGTTAAATTAATCACTTTTTATTGCCATGAAATTAAGAAATTTCCGTTTCTGTTCCACAACGAAAAAAATGCATACGGCTTTCAAACAAGTAAGCAAACAGCTGTTCATATTTGAAAAAAAATTACAAAAAAAGTATTACATATTATTAAAGAATTATTTAGAGAAAACTTTTACCAAATTAAATATAAATGTTATTGCATTAGGACTTAGTCCTAAAGAATTATGTATATATTTAAACTTCATGGCTTTTTCTCTTTATTTGAAAGACATTTGTCGAATATATGTAAGCTTATATGATAAGCGTTATAGGATCCAAAGCCATATATCACAGAATATTCGATGATGGCAACTGCAACTGTACTCTTTGAAAATATTCACTTTTCTAACCAAAAACTATTATTAAAACGTTCTACATATAATGGACACATAATATAACTCGTATGGGATCTGCGCAAAATCGTTAACAAAAAGTACACTACAATTGATTGTTTTTTTTTTTTGCTTTAAAGATTTTAATACTTAATAGGGCAAACTGATCTTTTTATACAATTAATGCCACTACAAAGCATACTAATAGGATAAATTACATAATTCATTCATTCATCATTCATCATCATTCATCACTTTTTGAAACATTTACTTTGTTACTATTGAAACAAGAAGATGAATCGATAATTATTTTACACAAACTGGAATTAGGACATAAGTTTCCTTGTATGATTTAATTGAACACTAAGGATTTGAAAATATACCGAAAATATACTTTTCATGCAATTTAATTGGTTTTTAAAATTGTACTTGTGCGCTCATTTGTTAGGGTTCTTTAAACATTTAGAGAAGCCAGCAATCTGATATATACGATTTAAAATACTATTATTGACAGAAGTTCTATGTACGATTAATACAATAATCTCAATTTTATTGCACAAAAACACTAAAGCTTTGGACTCAAAAATTGTAATTTGGAATTAAGTCAATCCAATCCCAAGCGGTTTGCAAATTAAGGATTAGGGCTTGGTCCAAGCAAATAGATTAAACCTCCAATAGTTTATTTCGTGTTTTTACAGAAATGTTTTGTCTCAATTGAAAATTTTTATATTAATCTCTAACAATTGCAGCAGTTAACTCTGCACTCAGCTCTCCACTTCCGCCTCGTTTTGTGATAACAAATGCATTCGGTAATTCCCCAATTTGGGGTTTGACCTTCAAGAGCGGTCTTGTCAGCTGTTCGGCATATGCGAGTAAAGCGCAGCAGTTTAATGAATGAGCAACGTGTGCGTTGATTTCAATATACACACGTATTTGTATTTTTAATATTAACACACTTTAATTCAATGTGCTTTGTGAAATGTGTGCACTCATCGCTTACGCTTTTTTAATTTTCCTTTTATGCTTTGCACTTTAGCCGCGCATAACAAGTTTATAACAATGGCAACAAAAGTGGGCAACGAAAAACGGCTGACCAATTCAACTAAAGTAACTGTTAACTGTGGCAACAATTGCTCCACATCGGCGCAGCCTTAACGACGACGACCGCGACGACGACTGTGGTGAAGACTTCGACAGCGCACGAAATGTTAAAAATAATAATTTTTAATAAACACATTACATTTAAGGGTGGAGCAGGGGAGAGAGGGGCACGAAAATGAAATAACTGAATGTACATTGCAGACAAAACAATTCGCAACAACCTCCACAAGTGTGCCATAAAATATGCCTGACTGAGCGCCAAACAGTAAAGAGGATTGTGGACTGAGGGAGAGACGCAGATGGAGACGAAGATGGAGACGCAGACGGAGATGAAGTCGAAGACTGCGGAGGGCCTTTTGAAACGCCATTACATGGCGTCACAGATTGAGTTTCTTTAATTTTCTCTGCTGTTTCGTGGCTGTCGTGTTTTTGAATTTAACCATAATTAATGGCTCGACGCAGAATTCAGCTTTCGAGCACAATTATTCGCCAAAGGTATAGATATTTATTAGTGTATGTTGAAGAATAAAAGCGGTTTGTTCTGTTTCTTTTTTGGCTCTCTTGACCATCATTTGCGGCTCTGCGCACACGTGTATATAAAGTTGAAAGATAAAGATGAATAGCAAAAATCCCTCTTCCGATATATTTGGAGATGAATTTTGCATAAAATGTTCGCTAATTTTGACTTTAGCGACTAATTAATTCTGCGACTGTGTAAGGGCAAAGAAGTGGGCGTTCGTAACAGAACAAGCAAAAGACTAAAATGGCAATACCCGTATTGTTGTATAATCTACGTTTTAGACATTGGAATAGGCATTAGATCGAATAGTTCTGATATCACCAATTTGTACACTTAAGCACTGGCCAATTTTTATAGTTCTTCGTTGTGACTGTAATTGCATTTAATTTATTGTCACGAATACCAATCAACTTTTATTAATGTCTTACATGCACAACACACACACACTGCTAACTGGAGCTGTTCTTGCAACCTACCTGTGTGCAGTTTCAATTATTTTCTGCGTTTTAAAACAAATGCCAGCAAAAGTTGAATTTCCGTTAATTAACGACGATATTTCTGCCAAAGCCGCGCAACCGCTTTTAAAACAACGTCCACAATGCGTAAAGGTTCGCAACAGAATCAAACAAAGCGCACAAGTGTTGTCGTCTAAAGTACAATAAGCTAAGTTTGAACAGCTCTCAACAAGTTGAAGTTGTGCTCAGGGCCGGTTTGTTGACCTAGTGAGTGGGGGAGCATAGTTTTTGCGGAGAGAAAGGTGTCTAGACTTATTAAAAAAACATAATTAAAGTGTAATTAAATACCAATTTCGTTTATTGTTGCTCCAACTTACTTTTGTTGCATTATTTTGTCAAATAATTCCAATTGAATTCCAATTAAGAAGTAAACATTACGCGCGCTTTGGTGATGTGCGAGATCGTGTTATCGATTGTTATCGTAGTCACGAGCGTGCATAGATGATCCCAGGCGAGCGTTTTGCAACACTGCAGCTATCGGTTAGCTTTCATTTTCTTTTCCATGGCATTTAATTTGGCTTGCATTTTTAAACAACAATATTAAGGGGAACGCGAGATATTTATTTAAAATGATATTTTGTGTTTTCACGTCATAGTTGATCCCAACATTTTGATAGCTACTAAATTTGGACAGATTGTTACAATTCTGCAAAAATATGGCATATCTATTTATTAAGAGTGGAATTACATCCAATTGCAAATATCTCATTTGAAAGAAAAAACAGCCATACTATTTGCAGAGTGAACTATTGTTTCTCAAAATGGATACAGAAAGTGTAGTCAAGAATTATTTCATTTTAGCTGCTTACTGAGATGTTGATGGACAAATATACCAAAATGTCTTACAATTTATTTACAAGTGTATATTAAACGGAAATGAAAAAAAATCTATTTACTTACATATGTACTTTCACTTTAAATTATATAGCTTTTAATTGTATAAAAATCACTTGCCCTGAATATCCTAATTATTAGAGAAAAGCCTAGCAAAGATAGACAAACCCTGTTAGTGACTTATAAAGTAATTTCAAATGAAACGGTTCGTTATGCGTTTTTTTCTTTTTCGCAATTTATTACACAAATACATGTACAATACAAGATAATAGCAAATACATAATTTGTTATATAAACCTAGCTACTTAATCGTATTAATATTACACCACATTTAATTGATATTTAAATAATGTTTAGTCGCTGTACTTTGTATTTGATACGTCTACAAAACATACTATACTTATGCATAGGTATGTTTATAAATTCGGCTAAAGGTAAGCGCGCTTTTGCTCCCAGCTGCTCGGCTCAAGCTCAAGCACAAGCTGAAGCTCAAAATGTTCAATTAATTAAACTCACATGCTAACTAAATGTTAATAAACACACAAGTGTATGTTATGTATATGTTTGAAAAATAATGAAGGGACGCAGCAGCGCACACATTTTACACAAGCCCTCAAGCATTATCATTTAATCCAGTGCGGTTTTAGTCAGACATTTAAGGTGTGGGTCTCCTCCACTGTTCGGTTGGTCTGTGGCAACAAGCACACCTGCCGCACGGGAAGCAAGCAGGCAAAAAAAATAGGTTTAATTGCAATGTGTGTTTGCATATGGTATGCGTTTGTTCTCTTTGTTTGTTTGTGTATGCATTCCATATTGCATATTTTGCACTTTTTTAATCAGTTTCAAACATTTTATTTGAGTTCACTCTTTTGTGTAAATAAATCCGTTGCATTGATTTGGCGCATGAATTATGAAACGATAGCAGCAGCTGCAGGCGAACCAACAACTCGACAACTGATTTTATTATCAATTTTCATTAAATCGTTTTTTATGATTTTTGTTCTTGTTTGTTTTTTTTTTTGTTTTTTTTTTTGAATATTTTCATTTTTGCCAGGTGCTTGCTCTTTACATGTGAATATGTGGGTGTATGTGTGTGTGTTGGTAGCGACGTCAACCGTCAGCACAGCCAATTACGCAAATTAAACTGATTGTTATCCTGTCGAGACAGACTCGTCGACGCGTCGTCGTATTTGTTCCTATTGGTTGTGTGTGTGTGTGTGTGTTTTGTGTCTGCGTCCAGACACTATACCAATCAGACATTATTCGGCAGACACTTTAATTCAATCAACATGACATAATTACTTAATTAATTAAGTGTTGCCAATGTTTTGGCTTGCTTTGTGCCCCATGTGCCACCTTCATTCACACATTCAAATCGGCCATCATTTTCCGAAAATCATTCAACGATCCATACATTTCAAAGTCTGCATCCGCATGACGCAGTGCGGCGCCATTTCCATAAGCAGCGCCATTGTGTGCCGGCCTTGGAAGTGTCAATGGGACTGGCAGCAGTTCCGGCATCACCGAGTGGTGTGTGATAAGAGCCCGCAGTGAACTGAACTCCTTCGTAAAGCCCTAGAAGTAGATAAGAAAATTAATTAGATTAAAAGCTGAATGGCAACACGAAATTATTGACCGTTGTTTTCACTTGTCTGTCAAATTATAAATTTCTCCACTTTATATTTATCAAGTATTTCTCGGTTTAAAAAAATAAAAAAATGTTGTAGGAGCATTTTGAACTAGAATAGAGAATCCAGTCTGAATACTAAAGTTTTATAAGTATTATCATCAGAATTTTAGAAGAGGTTTAATACTTAAGCATATCCTTATAGAAGTTATGGTAGAAGCTGAAAACTACATATACATATGTATATACATCTAGTCTAGTCTAGATATACTTGTATAAAAATTGTCACAATTTTTGTCCTTGATAGAAACTACTGAACCGATTGTAATCAAATTTCTGTAATTTGGTCCCAATGAAAAGATAGGATAGTTTTTATCTCAATTATTTATGGTTTGTATAATTTAATTGCGAATTTAGTAGTTTTCATAAATTTGTTCCGATTATTTAGCAATACCTTGTGGATATGTACGTCAAAAGTAAGATTAACCAAAAATGCAAACTAAAATAAAGTGTGTTTGCCGGTAGTTAGAAGTATTTAATTATGATTGTAGAAATGCTGATAACATAGTTATTTACTATATCTATTCGTTTGAAAGTATTGAAGGCTGAGAATAAATCGGCTGCGTTCATTCGGTAAAAAGAAAATGCGTTGAATATTAATCATATCTAATAGAATCTAATAGTAAGTTATATTAGGAAATGTGAAGTTTTTTATAAATCTTATTTATAATTAAAATTGTATTTATTTGCCAAAATTCCATCTTTTTTCGAATTGTTTCAAAAGTGGCTACTGGAACATGGGTATAAACGGATTATTTCTCATTAAATGTGGTTACAGAATTTCTGTCCCACAGTTTCGTCAATCGAATTCGTTGCGGACTTTAGTGAATTAGTAAATCAAAGAACTCCATCTTTTATATGAAATGTTATGGTTCTGATTAATCGTACCTTGATTTTGTAGCCTCGCTGCGTGCGCAATATCAGATAATGAGCCACGCGTGGCGCTGGTGGTGGTACACGGAGTGAGAGCGCAAAACAGCCTGGTTTGGTGCTGCTCTGCCGCACCAGAAATGCGCCCGGACTCTGTCGCGACAGCACCTCCAATGAGATCTCGCGTGGTATGCCCGCCTGAAACCAGGCGGCCCCCTTCAACTCCTGCTGCTCGGCCAGACTGAGGTTGTCCAGACGCAGTGGTGCGCTGGGCGCAAACAACTTGGGACTGGAGTTGGCTGCAAATAGATAAAAGTACATGAGTATCGTATTCTTTGTGCGCAGAGCAATATCTCTTCTATACCGCTGCACGTTTCGCGCAGGTACTTCTTGTTGTTGGGCAGCTCTGTCTGCAGTCTTTGGGTGGCCGTTTCCAGTGCTGTCAGCGATTGACGACACGAGTCACCAAATTTGCTTGCCACATACTTGTCCGGCTCACAGATGGCCTCGTTCACATAGCCATCTGATATGGTTTGTGATGAGCCCGAGTTCAGGGATGAGGAGCATGTATTGTGCACCAATGGACGACTGTCTTCGGCGGCGCGTAACAGACCAATACCCATGGTCAAACGTTTTACCTGTAATGAGGAATGGTAGTTATTATACACTCGAAAAAATGCCAAATGTTTTAACAGTGAATAATTAGGGTCTTTTAATTGACCCAGCGAATGGGAAGGATTTTGTTTGTATTTTAAATATTTGGTATTTGGTGTGTCTTAGTTTGCTCTGATATTTTCGATTAGACTACGACGATTATTGGAATTTTCAAGCATGAATTGTGGAGAGAAAAGACGGTAATGGTTCAATTGAAGGAATGCCTGGCGAATTCTATAATTATGTATTAATTTCAATAACAAGTATTCGGACGGTGTGTGATTCTCCGGCTTTAGTTCAGATTAAGATCGGTTCAACCAGAATGCATTGCTTTTACAAAATAGCTAAAACAACAAAGACTATAAGACTATGCCTAAATCATTACACACTTCACTACAAAGTGTGTTAGTTTTTAACACCGAGAGAGAAAGAATGACAGACTGCATTTAATAGGTATATCGTGTATGTATATGATCAAAATCCAAGGCAAATCAAACAGCAATGTAGTATCTGCTTTCAAGCTATTCAAAGAGGCTTCATGCATGCATCAATATGATCAAATAGATGTTTTTGTAGTAAATTATTGTGTATTTTAAATCTTATGGAAACCAACTTGCATTTCAAGATTGTTTCAGTCATATCTCATGAGTTTGAGTGACTATAGAAATGAAAAAAAAAAAATAAAAAAAAGCATAAGACATTTTCTTATAAGAGATCAGATGACACGATAACAGTTGTGTATTTTTTTATAAGGGACTATTATTATTATTTATTTATTTATAGTTAACAAAGAACTGCTAACTTTGCTAACTATGAATTATATAGTTCGCGGCTGATGACCATGCAGGAGTTAGGTTTTGTTCTGAAGGGTATATTAGTTTCGGCGCAAAAGAAGGAAATTTAAAATTTAAAATTTTAAAAATTTGCTGCCAATACAAAAAAAAAAGAAAGAAAATAAACACTGTCTGACCAACTCGTAAAAATGTACATAGTTGTTGGTTTTTGTCATGATTTTGTAATTGAGAGAAGAAATATATTTTACTCGCCTTTCGGCGTCAGTTTTATTTGTTACTATGCAAACAGAATTACAATAATTGAAATAAAATATTGGCAGAGGTTAAACAATTAAACAACATATCTTGTATTAATATGTCTTTTTATTGGAAACGACAAATGATCTAAAAAATGTTGTGCCACAAGATGGTTGGTTTTTTGTAGGGAGTTATTTAGTTTGTGCTGCACATTAGTTCATACGCAAAATATTTGCTAATTTTGCTAAGTGTGTGGATGGAAAACTTTGACTGCCAATTTGCAAAAGTTCTGCATGCAAACCCAAAAATAAAAAATTTGCAAACCAGTAATTGCAATTTAGTTGGCTCAACTCCATTTGGAAAACGCAGCAGGTGCAACCGGCCACATGCGCGTATTGCAATCACTTTGTTGTTGTTGTTGTTGCTGCTGCTATTGGTGCTTCTCAAAACCACAAAACATTAAAAACACTTTAGCTCCTGCTATAGCAAGGGGGAAAACAAGGTGCTGGCCAACAAACCAACAATTTCAACTCGGATTTGTGTGTAAAATTGTTGGTTACCAATAAAATGTTAACCCGTATTTGCCAGTCAAACACAACACCCTGAACCACCCAGAACCACCCCCACCACTACCCACACCTATAATAATTTGCTCATTGCACGCACTGTTTTGGTTTCTGCGGCTGCTGCTCGACTCCACTTGCCAAATTACTTTGAAATGAGTTGCCAAACTTTTGGTGTATATCAGCTTTTAGGCTAACATTTGAAGTGCTTCAGTTCGGGTCTGGGTCTGGGTGTATCGAGGTGGAGTTAATTAGCAAACAGTTGCTTAAGTGTCGATTCTGCTGCCTTGTTTAATTTGTTATAATTATGTTGAATTGATAGTGATGATGGCTTTTTGATGTTGCCTCTCAATGTTGTTCTTGCTGGAGGACGACTTGAAGCTCCTTATGAATACATATATTAATTTGTTGCTATAGAAATGTGGCTTTGCTGCTTGAGCTGAGTGCAGACATAATTAGTGTGTGCTCTAAGTTTTGCTCATTTATCTAAGCAGTAAAGGTCTAAGCACATATATTACAATATATACAAATATAATTATATACTTGATTTACATATATTAAGTTTAAATAAATTCAGGACTAAATGGTTTGTAAAAATTAGAAGATATTAAACATTATTATTAAACAAATTACAAAGCAAGGTTTAAGCACCTTAAAGCTTTATAAACACAATGCTGATGATTTAGAAAACCATATAGTGATGAGAACAGACTGTAACTATCAAACTATTTCTAGTTTATTAAAAAAAATTGTCATTTTTAATGCACACTTTTAGATACTTGTAATGAACTTCAGTCCTAGTTGGAGTCCACATTTAATATTTTGTGTACAGGGTGCGCCAGATATTCAATGTTTACATACCGACATAAAAGATGGCGCACCCTGTACTTTTGCAATCGAGATTTGTAATTTCAGAAATCTTGGCTTTAAAAACATGAATTTTCTAAAATACGTATTCATGGTTTGTAAAGCGAAAGAAGTCTTAGCTAACCAAAATGTTAACTTTAATAAAGAGTGTTAGTGGCTTTAAGTGCTACAAGAACTGAAATTTAAATATTTGCCCGATGGGATTGATTTCTAATTGAATATCGTGATGCGATATCAATAAACATGTGCAATCTGTGCAGCTGGAATGCTGTCCTGATTATGCAAATGACATTGAAAGCTACGGACGCATTATGCAAAATCTTTCACGTCAATGTTAAAGTGGCACTTAAGAAACATTGCTCTGCAATCCAACTAAAGACGTACAGCAAATGCAATGAGGGACTAAAGAAGAATTGGAAAAAGGAGACAAGGTATGAAGTACCAATGCGAGTATGCATGTGTGTGCGAGAGTTTCCTGCGACTGACTAGACAATAGGCGTTGTCTTGAGTGCCTAAGTTGGGCATTGTTAAGCAGAGCATGGCATTTGATTTGCCATTTTCCTTCTACACACAGTATAGTATACACACACACACATAGATGCATACATATAAGGCGCTTGTCTACTTTTCATTCGCAGCTGTCTGCTGCAGTAGTTGGCAGAAAAGTTTTGCCGTTGCCTACTTTCAGGCGTTGTCTGCCTACCTTCATGCCTAGGCCTATGGCACCACATTGTTGCCACGATTTATGTGTCATAAAGTCAGTAAGTTAACGGCATTTGTCTGCCATCATTTTCGAAAGTTTCTGTGCTGTGCAAAATGCTGTGCAAAATGGCGCGCTGCACTTCACTTGCAATCGTTCTCATTGTTGTGGCAGTTGTTTGTTGTTGTGCGCGCGTGTTGAAGTACCGTTTGCTGGAAATTTGCATTTTTGCAAATTAATTTAATGAACGCCTTTTTGGGCTTGTTTAGTGGCTGCCAGTTCAAGCAGTTGGTAAATTGCATTTGACTTTATGCCTCAAAATGGCGGCAATTTATATTCCAGAAAGCGTCGAATTGGAGAATCAAAGAAGAACTATTAATGTGAAAGCTTTATGTTTGTGTGTATTTAAAGGCGAATTAAGGTTGATTGAATACTTAAATGCTCAACTTTTAAGAAATATATAAATAAAGAGCTGAAAATATTGTCTTGCATTAATCTAACGCAAATTGTAATTGTATTAGTAAAACAAAGAGATTAGCATATCCTTATTAAAGTAAGAAGTTGTTTGTTTAGTTTGAACCAACAACAATCAATTTATATAAATATTGCTTTTTTAAATGTGCAGCCACAGTTAAATAGTTTCGATTTAAAATCAAGTAGTACGAACGGTATCCACAGTTAGGTTAGCTCATAAATGTTGGATTTAAGTATAACATTTTTTATTAAGCTATATCCAAAATTGTTTTTTCGTGACTTTGTGTGGTTCAGGTTTCATTTTTGTAAATTTAAGATCTACCTTGCATTTTTTCTATTGATATTGTTATTTTGTTAAAAAGATTTTGAAGCAATTTCCTAAAACTTTTGGCATTTGTCTTGGTGTTGTTCAATAATGTAAGAAAGAGCTATTTACAAGTATACTATTAATATTTATATTTCAATGGGGAATAAGCAATTGAAACCAAATACTTAAAACACATTTTGGTCAATAGAGGACTCTACTGTAAATTTGGGATGGATTCAAAATAGACTGAAGAAAATGCAATTACAAAGAATACATCGGAGCAATAGCTTAAGCCATTTTTTTGTATAAATATTTACAATTTATTAAACTGGTATTCTGTTACCAATATGGCAGCATAGGCTAGTTAAAAAAGCTTAAACTCAAGGTCTAAAATGGAGCACTTTATTTTTTTCTGAATGTAGAAATGTTATTTTTGATATACACATACTACTGCTTCAGTTTTGAGTATGAAATCTTAATTAAAAATGATGGTTTGACAATTATTTAAGCAATTTTCTTCATTAAAATCTGTCTCAAATTATTAAAGACGCACAAAAATATGCAATGGTTTTCAATATAGTTTCAGTTTCCAGGCAACAATAGTGCCTGAAATAAAGCTTTTATTCCTTTTGCTTGCCAACCCACCCATTCTCGGAAGCTAATGCACAAGTTCCAAGCTGTGGCTGCTGCCACAGAAAAAATGCCAATAACTTTGCAAATTGTTGGCATTAGCGTGGAGCAGAAACGCCGCAATCACTGATCACTAGCGTAAGCAGATTTATGCGTCGCACAAAGTAATTGTGAGGATGACGTTGCCAGCGAGCTGTGCCAACAATGAGTTGTGATTGCTATCCAGAATACTTAAGCCGCAACTCCCTCTTGGCTAATAGTGAATATTAAAAAGTATGCGCAGGTCTGTCAAGTGGCTTAAAAGGAACGGGAAGGGTGGCTGGGGATGGGGATGGGGATGTGGGGGTGCGGCAGGGTATTGGGGTATTGCCTACTTACCAAAGGCGGTTTATCAACCAAACGACGACAATTATTCATTTCTGTTGGTGAATTATCCTCCTCAGAGCTGGGCGAGCGTGGCAGCTGATGTTGTTGATGTTGTTGTAACTGTAGTTGTTGCTGTTGCTGGTTGAATGCGGCATGATAGTTGCTGGTGTGCAGCTGCAGCTGTTCCACATGCCTCTGCGCCCCCTTTGTGGGCTGATGAGGGTGTGGATGGAGATGTGGATGCGAATGCGTATGCGGGTGTCTCGTTGGATGCTGATGATAATAATGATGATGATGTTGCTGTGCGGTGGTTATTGTAGCCGTTGTTGTTGTTGTAGCTGCTCCGGCTGGCAATTGTTCGCTGTTTGTGCGTGTGTGTGTATGTGGGGGGGGGGGGGGGGGTGTGGGTGTATTGGTGTGATTTAGTGGCAGTTATTGTAGCATAATTTTGTGCTGGCATACCTGAAATTTAGCTCTGAGAGCAATTGCAACGGCCGGCGATTGGGTGATATGGTTGTTGTTGCTGTTGCTGTTGCTGTGGCTGTTCCTGTTGTTGCCCCTATTGTCAAATCGGCCGTTTCTATGAGGGTTGTCTCCGCTGTTGTTGCTGTCGTTGCTGCTGATGATGAAAATGTAGCTGTATTGTGTTGCGGCTCGAGTCGTAGGCGTATATCCTGCATGGCCGTTGTATTATTGTTGCTGTTGTTGCTGTTAGATTTATGCTCCAGCAGCTATTTAGAGCATCTGAAAAAAGTTCATTTTGACAGCAAGCTATTAAAAAGTTATACGCATGCAAATCTTTCCAGTTTGAAGTGCTCAAAAGTTTAACCCAAAAAAAGACCCTTAAAAACTTAAGACTACACTCGCAAAACTTTTGACAGCATCAGCTTTAAGTTTATGCCAATGTTGATTTCTTGACTTGTATTTCTCTAAAATATTTATACTTTTTGCTGCCCCAGCTTTTGCGGTTGTTATGAGGCTATATTTTATTTCAGATTTTCGATTCTTTTTCCCTTTTTTGTTCCAAGCAAAAGTTTGCTAAGCGCTTTAAAAATTGTTCAAGATCAGAGAGCAAAGGGTTGAGAATGTGGGCAAAAGTTTTATAGAAGTTTTTGCTTATTGAATTTCATGGCAATCTGTGTATGTGTGTGTGTGTGTAGTTTGGTGTGTAGTGTGTGCCAAAGTTTTAATGCGATTTTAAGTTCTCCTCCATAAGAGCTGAAAATTGTTGAAGCTTTTAGCCAACCATATGCTTAGTTATTAATTCGCAAGCTTGTTTCGTTTTCTGGGGATTTAATTCTTTAGGAAATTGCTTATTAATTGCATCGTAAGCTTTTGAGGAAGCTGCACATGCCTTGTGCATCGTTTTGACATTTGACTGCTACGAGTATGACAAGCGTTTAGTAACCTTGTCATAAACAATTCGCCCCAAGGCCTTACTTTGTATCTTTTGTCGGCTTTTGCTGTGCGCACTACTTGTCCTTTGCACGAGAGCGCCTTTTACCTACATGCAACAAAATGGGTCGCCCACCCACAAACATACTTTTGCAAGCCCCAAGGAAACAACTGCAGTCGTACAAAGCATTCGAGGGTGGAGGGTAACAAAAGATGTTGCAGCATTAAAGAAATAAAATGAGCCGAAAAAAACAAGAAAAGAAAGGCGCAAGATACAACAAAAAGGGAAAGGATTTCTCTGGGGCAAGTTAGTTTTGTTTTTGTTAATCTGCCACAGCTTTAAGAGATAAGAAGAAGAGACTTGCACTTAAATTATGCAAAGCAAGTATACGGCATGTTGGGTCGGCATTAATTTGCCAATGTCGACAAATGTGCTGACATTTTGGCACTTCATGTAAAGTTGCGTGCATAAGTTGTAAGACGTCAGCAGTCAGTTACAACCAGCTGCAACAAATGTAACAACAAGAAGGACAACTACTTGAACAAAAACAACCAAGCAGCTTACTGCACTTATCTGGCATTCAACTATGACTGGTCTCTGATTAGAGCTAGCTGCGTGATGTCAGCTATATCTTATATTGTTTCGAATGAGGCATCTAAGTAAAATTTGGGATTTTTATAGGCATACATGAGTGAGATCGCTAGTCATTTATATATTGAGCCTTGATTGTCAATTAGAATTTGGGAATTGCTAGCCTTGCCCCAACCATAAAAAGCAAAGCGACGGCTGAAATGCCTAATGGTACTTGGATTCTTTTATAATATATTGGTAATATTATTTGTGTAATAATACTATTTGTATGTTGCTATATTTTGCAGAATTCCATAGCAAATGCATTGGCCTACCATTACCTGATCGCAAATATTGACATTCTGCTATCTTGCAATTAAAAAAAAAATGTATCAAGAATTACTTAAAATTGATTTGAAATATATTTAAAATTAAAGATTCTAGCTTTACACTTTGCATTGTTGTTTAACTTTTTATACTTCTCTTTTTTGTTCAATTATGTAGGAAAGGCTAACCTGCCTGACTCTTAATATAAAGATATATTTACCTCACTTGTTAATATACAAGTATATTGTTACAAGAAAAGTGCATAAAATGAAATTGAAAATTATAGATGTTTATAAAATTTACTTAACATTAAAAAACAAAAAATACGAATTTCATAAAAAATTATTTAAAAATGTATCAAAAATATATGTAATATTTATATATAAAATAATAAACAATCTATTGCAAAAAATAACTCTTGAATTGAGATATTAAGGCTTCTTCAAATGGAAAATTATAAATTTTAGAAAACAATCTTTTGTGATAATAAAAAATGTGTAAATCGTGAATTCAAAACTGAAATGAATAGCTGAAACAATTTCGTCAGCGACATAAATACAGATATTAAAAATTATTGTAACTTAAATTTTGGAATTTACCTCAACTTTCACTTAAAACAATATTTCTAAAGTTTCAAAGATACGAACTTAGTGAAATTAATGTTTTGTAAATAGGCTTTGGTGTCGATACCATGAAATCTTCGAAGTTGCAAAATTAAGATCGATATAGGCATGGAATCGTCGATTTTTGTGAATATTTTAGTTTGTTGAGTCACCACTAAGTCCCAGCTAGTCACGATTCTGGCTCACGCCCAATTTCAATTCTGACAGCTGCAACATACACTGTCACATGGTAATTTTCCTTGTCATACAAAATGCATCAAAATGTTTCTGTGCACTTGCTACAAAGTTTTGGCAGCAGCAAGAACGACAGCAACAACAACAACAGAAGCAACATCAAGCATCTTACAACAGGCTGTAGAAAAACAAAAACAGCAACTACAACAACAACAACAGCAACTGTCATAATAAGCAACAAACTACTGTCTTGCACTTTAGAGGCAGCTGCCTGTGTGACAAATTTCGCAGCATACTTTTGTGCGTCTTCCATTGACAAGTTTCCTCATGGAAAACTTGGCTCACAGCTTGAGCTTCTTGTTATTAAGGCAAGATGGAAACTATTCGCAATTTATTACTGCATACTGCGCATATTTGTTGCCGTTGTAGGTGGGGTCGGTTTTTTTTTGGTTTGTTTTTGCTTTTTGGGCGCAAATCAAGTTAAAGTTTAGTTCGATAAATTTGTGGAAACTTTTTTATTGTTCATGCCGTTGCCGTTGCGTTTGTTGGTGCTGTTGTTGTGTTGGGTAAAGTTTTATCTTTTCAGTGGCATTACCGGTAAAACGGCAATGCACAAACAATTTTAACAAGAACAACAACAACAAGCAGAGCAATAAATGCAACTACAATACATAAAATTGGCAACAAGGAACAAAAAATTTGTTTTGAAGGTTTTTTGTTGTTGTTGTTGTTCAGTTGTTAACTTACTGGCAGACAACTTTTTAGTGCTGTTTGGAAAGTATGTTGGTACTTTTGTATTACATAGTTGTTTTAAGTCATATCCAGCTGAGATTATCAGCTCAGTGATGTTCATTGTTTTTGTTTTTCTCTAGTGTTTGTTGCAGAGTCTAGGAATTTAACTCGAAGGGCAGATAATTAAAATGCTCAAAAGGTAAGAAATTCTGAGTTATTAGAGAAATTTTGTATGATGAAACTACATTCCTTTTTTTTTATGCTCTGTAACCGAATCTAGAAGAGGCTTGGCAGACCTCTCCTTTTGGATTAAATTATGCATTATGACGGGACAAATAAAAAGAATACCACAACCGAGAACTTTTGAATTAGACCAAGCTTTATTATGATATCGTATGACTTTGTAGTTATACTTTTTTAACAAAAGCTCACTATATTCTGATGTTTCGTTAAACGAACGATTTATCAATACAATTTCTGCAGTATGCGGTGGGAGAAGGATTGGTTACAGCAGATTAAAGAGTCGCTCAAAACGTTTTTAAAATTAATTTCTAAGTCTCTAATAGCTGTAAGCATTCGTTTAAAAATCTAATTTATTTAATTGATTAGTATAATCTTGAATTAACAGGATAGCCGTCAAAAAATCTCATTTTAATTCAAATTTCTTTGAAAACGTATTCAATTAAAATACTTCTAACATTTGCAGCAAAGTTAAAGCTTTTAGCCTTTTTGGAATAAATGTTGCGATTATTCTATACTCATTATGCATCTCTTCTGGGCTTATCGTAGGGGTTTTCTTTTTGCTGTTTTTGGAGCAGCACAGGAGTCCTCCATAGGAGTAGAAGAAACCATGGCAAGAGTCTAAGAAGGCATGAAAGAGCGAGCGGCTTCGTCTGAAATAAAGCAGTGCTTTATTATGAAAGATCCAAGTCAAATTGAGTAAAGATACGCTCCAAGGAACCAGCCTATAAAGTCATTGTTTAATCATTCCCAACCTATTCTCTTAAACATCGACGTATATAGTGGGTAGTAAGTGAGCTTAGCTAAATTTGAGCATACAGTTGTCGCCAAGCTTCTCACAATTGAAATTTATTTTTATATGCTGTTTGTAACTGCAAGTTCTTGAGCCCGCCCTTGTCCCTGCTCCTGGCCCCGTGGCTCCCTCGATGTTAACCTTTGTCAAAGCAACTGAAGCGCGCGAGCATATGACAAGCTCATATCCCAAGTATTTTGGTTTGGCACTAAAACGCCATAAGTTCCTATAATACCGACAAACACACACTCACAGTCACAGACACACACGAGCACATTTGCTTGTTAGTTTATTGAAATTGATATTATGGTTACCCTCTGTTGTCGTCTCAGACCTCGCCACACTAAGCAGACTAACAACGTTCGGGTTTATTGTTTGTGAGGTGAGTTTGTGTGTGTGTGTGTGTATGTGCGCTTTTATTTCTATTTTCATAGAGATTTCGTTACGAAATTCATTGTTAAATCGCTTGGAAAGCTTCCTTTTGGCATGCCAAAACCATGGTTAGTGGCTACAGCAACAACAACAATAACAATGAGGACGACGGCGTTGACAGCGAGCATTTTGCCCGTGCGTTGATTGCCATATGAAGAGCTTGTCATGTGTTCTGTGGCTGCACAGTGGAAACTCATTAAGAGAAATGCGATACTAAATGATTTTCTTCTAACAAGACTTTCTATAAATTCTCTTGCTCTGTCACCACCATGTGTTATTCTGGTCTTTCCCTAATCAACTATCTCCAGATCTTTATCTCATCTTTATCATTATCCTTTATCGCTTAAAACAACATGATAACTTGAGAATTTAAATCATTTTTATTCGTATTTCTAATTGTATAAATAGGTAAATTTATACAAGTTTTTCAAGCTGGTTTTACATTATTAATAAATTG